TATGCTGATGAAATTAAAGATCAAAAGTTCCCAACCTTTTTTACAGTTAAGCACATATCACAGCACTCTGATGCACGACAAGATAAAAACAAGTTTTCAACACAATAGCACAATCCCAAAGTCCAAGATGTCATTGTAAAACACCACATTTTKTATTCATTTTTGAAATATTTTCAAAAAAACTGAAAATTTGCACTTGCTTTTACCTTCAAAYCACATCAAGACCAATAAACTCTTTTTTAAATTCAGTTTTCTTTGTAACTTCAGGTTGTTAAAAAAACAGTTAGAAAAAGGTTAGGCACTCTGCCTAATTTGATCTCCGCTTTTCCTATTTTGCTTTCATTCACTGTCATTTTGTCTCAGAAACACTCACAGTAGGGTATTTGCACATATTATCAACACCAGCAGCAGCAACAGCTGTGGGATGGGTGACAGCCTGACCTTTTTTTTTTATTAGGGAAGGGAGCTTAAACAGTTGTGAAATTCTTTCACAGAGCTCTACCAGCTTTTGTGTTTGATTTTTAGGACGTATGCCAATCGTTCTATGTTCCATCCACAGCTAAGTTACTGAGACTCATTTAATGAGATCAAACCCAGCAGGTAACGGCTAACACAAAGATGGCAACTGGGCTTCTGAATCGTAGCTGAGAGGACCGAGGAGGTGTTAAAGGTATGCTGAATCAAAACTTTTTCTGCTCTATGAGCTGTTAAAATGATACATTTCATGAGTCCTGTGGCATTTTAGATTACATGATTACTGCAAGTGTCTGCCTGTCCATATCTGTGTGCATTCTCACGCTTGTCTATGTGAGAGGAGAAAATGGGCTGTCTCCCAGGATGTGCAGCTTACGCTTTATTAGAGCTGTAGTACCAGTAAATCAGAGCTCAGCTCTTCCTGGAACTGCTACAACCTTTCCCACTGAGCACTATTACTGAACAATCATAGGCTAGCCATGATAATTAGCAGAGTATCTATCCATTCAACTYTCCTGCACACTCCAACCCCTTTTCCTGTCTGTCTCTCCATCTTTTTTTACCCCTCCTCTTCTTAGAAATGTTTGTTGTTTTAAGGAAGACAAGTCCCCCAATWGACATTGATTAGAGGACAAGTCACACTACCTATCATCATTTTCCTTAAACAGATGTCTGTACTGCAAAGCAACAGAAACAATAAAACATTTAGGGGTGAAATGCCAAACAAGTCAAAACAGCAAACCTAATAATATCAGAACAGTGTGAAAATCCACTGACRATGAGCCTTGTGTCAGCTAACAAGTGCTCGCCCAACAGAGCAGAGCTTGATTATTTGAAGGCACCCAAAATACACAGCAATTTTATTTGGTCACATAAAATTTGGATTGCAACCAAAACCCATTTGTGGTTGTTTGCTAACTACATTCAACAGCCCAGGAGGATTGGGAGTCAATCGTGTTACTTTTGATCATTAATGGGGAGAGGTCGTGAGTTTCATTCCAGAGTCTGAAAAGCCTCTGATGAGTAACATTATTAGTGAAACACTGAATTGTATTGTCATGTAGCCCCAATCCCCTTTTTTATATTGGCCCTCTTTTCTCCTAATATGAGTCATTGTGATTATTTGTTCTTTGAATAGCATAGACTTTTGCATTCCTTGCTTTTTCACTGGTTCTTTTGGACTGGCTAAGAAATAAACAAAACAGCATAACTTATTTCTAAATGTTTTTTTCATAGACAGGAAGTGATCAAACGTAATATTTCTTAATGTAAGAAACAGGCAGTACATGTGACTGGTGTGTCGATGCCAAACAGAGGAAGATGAAAATATTTTACAGTTGAATGTGCTCAATGGAGCAGGACCAGGACACAGGAAGGGATGTCAGGACGATTTTAGCRAAAGATTCCCCGTTTGATAGTGACGGCACTTTCTCCCCATCTTTCCATGGCCGACCTGCATCTGGAGTGGATTTTGTGCTAGCAGACACCAAGGAACATGATTACATTCGGCTAACTGCGCTCTAAACTGATTATGCATGTGCCAAGCTAATGGACTACATTTGCAAGAGGAAAAATAACATCCAATCAATCTCAATTACTGCCGATTGCACCGGCCCTCGAGACAAGGAAGGTAGCCAGCAAACCCCACCTTCCTCATGCTTCTCCCCTTTTTGTCTCAACTTTTTTTTACGAGAAACTGAGGCCTGTGGTTGGGCCTACTCAGGCCTCATCCATTCCATCTTGTYAGAACAAACAGGGCCTGGTATTTGACTAGCCTCAAAAATAAAAGCATATGTCCAATTGGAAAATTAGTTTATTTAGGAGTAATCTTAGTGGTGGGCTAAATATTTTTTAAAACTAATTTCACAAACCAACTCACCTTATCTGTTTTTATTTAGGACTGGCTATTACAGACGCCAATCATGCTTTTATCCACTGAAGTCCCTCCCCCCACCTCAATGCAGTAGAAAAAWGGAGGAGAAAGTAAGCTTCAGAGCACTGTGGACTGTTGGCAGAACACAGTGCTCATAAAGGGTGACTTTAAACTGAGAGTACAGTTTACTGGGGAGACAGCATCAGCCCCCACTGTGTGGTGGTCCAGTGGTCAGGATGACTTGCTGGATCATTCTGTGGTCTTTTTAAATATTCCAATATATGAGGTGGTGGGGGGGATATTTTTAGAAAACCCTAATATGGGCTACATACCACAGACTCTCAAATTATCCCATCCAACTTAGCTCTCAGCTTAGACCTTCCTTTTTAATTCCAGTAATTACAGGCTCCCATTTATATGGTGCTGTGCACACAAAGGGCCTGTTTAATGCAAACCAGTTTGATTTGGGTGAAGTGTCCCAAGCATTGCCCACATCTTACAGTCTGTTTATGCTGAGTTGATGATTTATTTACCCCCCTCATTTTCAGTTTTCTATTTTTGTCCTTGTATGTTATACTGAGTTTACAGCAGTCGGTAGGCAATGGTGGATTTTGTCTGTCAGTATCTCTACCAGGACTGTAAATCTAAAGYAGTAAGAAAACTGTGGCRTTGCCAGTAGGAAAGCAAGTGCAGCTGAAAAGCCTCATGACCATGTACTTGTCACATTGGTAAGTCATAAACCATGTTAATRATACTCTTGTCAACTTGTACGCATTTTTGTTTTTGAGTGGTGTCAGGGATGAGGACAAGCTTAAATGGGACTACAGTGTTTTCTGGTTTAGGGAGCAGGTAAATTCTGGACAAATGCACACACTCTTAGCTGGTAAATCAATTGGTGTTAAAAATAGGGGACCATCTTAAGAGGCTTAAGTCATAAAAAATTAGCATGCCTGGACGTGTTGTACACATTTAATCCCCCACAGCCTGAACGCTAGTGACATACGTATTTCTCTCTTTTGCTCTTTCTCTCTAAAATAAATAAATAAATAAAACATCTTGAAAAAAGTAAAAATTTAAAAATTGGAGGAAAACATACTCTTACAGCATTTAGGCTCTAAGCAAGTCATAGAAAAGACAGCAATATATTGAAGGAACCCTAATGCACAAAAGTTTCTCATTTCAGAAGTGGAAAGCATAGACATATTCCTGAGCCTGTCTAGTTTGGTTTAATTGTAGTTTGGTCCCAACAATTTAACAGCTCGGGCCAAGACAGGAAGACCAAAGACAGTAAAACACATGCAACGGCACAAGAAATTAATGCAGGGTACCGCACCCTGTTAAAATACCAGTTGCAAAAAAAAAAAACACCTGTCTTGGTGCAGACAACAAACTGACTAGTCAAACACCTCCCCACTCACCACATTCTCTTTACTTTTTGCAACAATAGACCTCTGTCATACAACAAAACACACTAAATTGATTTCTCTATTATACTGTTGTTTCTGTAAAAAMTCCCTGTGGGCAGGAAACAGGTTTGCCATGCCAGTGGTTATAAGAGATCATTCATAATGCTGAAYAGTTTTCAAATAGATGGGATTTTTAAGGGGACTTTTAAATGGTCAAATAATCTTAGTTTTCACTGTAAAAAGAGCACTTGTGCTTTAAGCGGAAAGTTTTCCACCTCTTTTATTTCCTTCATTGTAAATGAAACCAACACCACAAATGCCAAGCAWTGCATTTCCTATTTACTTTTGAAAATATATGCAGTACACTGAACATTGAAAATAATTTACATCACAAAGTCAAGAGTCACAAAAGATGACATCTGGTTTGTGCTTGGACTGTTGCTGTTACCATGCTTACACTAAGTCTGCGTTGCAAGTGCTTGAGTTGTGCTGTGTGTTTGTGTGTATGTGTTGTTGTTGGTGGTGGAGTGGTATGCATACGCAACTGTGCCAGTCTAGGTTAAGCGCAGACTAGCCAAAGCCGCAGACATACAGGATAGGCACCTAAGTGGAATCAGGCCTGTTAGATTTATGGCCATTTGTTCGGAGAGTGTTCATCCACTGGCTATTATGGAATGATTAGAGGAGAAGGTGAAGCTCCAAGTCCAGCAAAAATCAATACGGCTGTCGAGAACAATTCAGCCCTTCCCGCTCAGAGGAGTATTAGCACCAAACCTCTGTCTCCTAACACTTCTTCATTCGTCTCCTAGTGATTTAGTCTGAAGCTTCCAAACCAGCTTGTACTGCCATGTTCTTCTCGTGGCAGCAGTGAGCCCTGCTTGTATATGAYATCCATACAACAAAACGATCCCTTTAAACCTGTAAAAATAGCTAAAAGTATGTAGAGCACTGAGTCATGCACTGAGTTTTGTGGGGGAATATGAAGTTAGCAGAGGTTTAAGACGTTTAATGAATAACAATTAATTAATCCAAATGGTAGATTCATGTTATTTTTAGGCCTTAAGTAAATGAGTAAAATATGCATTGTGATTAATAAAAAATTTTATGATAAATGTCTGCAACTGTTTTTCATTGTGCATGTCCTGTGTTTCCCTKTTTATTCATACTGTTAAATGCAGTGCATATTGTGACACTCTCAAAATAAGGCTAAGTGGTGGTTGTGATACAAGAAGTGGCAGACCACTTACCTTATACAGTTTGAGGCTTGCTTCATGGCGGGAATTGACAGTATGCAGTCTCAGCTTCTCCAGACTGTTGGTGTAGTAGTCGCAGGCGTTACACTTCAGGTGCACTGGATTACCTATGGCCACACATTTCAGACGCCACTCGTTGCCTTTGCCCCCTTCCTTGATGTGGGCCACGAGCTGGTACTTCTGCACGTGTTTGTCTGTTTTGCAGTGCAGCTGGAAGTTGGCCTTGAGCTGAGTGGTGTAGTGGCACAACTTGCACTGATGAGAGTCTCCCACCACAGCACGCCACTCCTCCTCCGGCAAGCTGCGTTCAGCTCCCATGTGCATTCCGAGCACATCCAGGTTGTCGGTGGTAAAACGGTTGCACACTGCGCATTGAAAGAGCTTCAGGGAGGGATCTGTGGTTTGTGATAGACTTTCTCCTAGGGTCATCAGTTCCTCAGACACCAACTGCCCACTGCCGAGGCGCACATCCATGGGGATCTCTCCACCTACAACAAAAACAAAAAGAAAGAGGGAAGGGTTAGACAAGAGTATTTGGTAGAATGCTGCAATGGCTTTATTACTGGGTTAAACGTGTTGTATGAAAACAATGAAAAGTAAAATACATAAGTGAATAAGTATTTTTTATACATTGTGGTGTGAGGGTGGGAGCACAGTAGACATGTGTTATGGCACCACCATATGCATAATTCCCATTCAGTCTATGAAGGCTACCTTTAAAATCGAATGCTAAATAAATGAGGCAAGAGGTGGCACTTTTGCCTTTACTCACTGTTCTTTAATCTTTCACTGTCCAGACTGAGCACGCTGGCTTGACCTGGCCTGGCTTTACACTAAATTAATTCCAGCAGTTCTTTTTTATTTATTGCTGCAGTAGGCAGCTGGTCTTGGACTTTTCTCCATTACCTGGGCTTTTATAGCCAGGAGAGTGAGACCTTTGAGAAGTCCTGTGAAATCACTCACAGAACCAGATACGCAGTCAGAGCTYGCTGTGCTCACTCACACAAACCCAGAAATAAACCCACATGCTCACACACTATCCTACATCCATGGCTTTATGCTCCATAACTATACAKATGCATTGATTTACCATAAGGATTCTGCTTCCCAATAAATTTGGTTGTAGATCATTGGGCCAAAGTTGTGAATCGTATTACTGCACCTGTTTTCACAGAAGTTTTTCAAAATTGAAACCATAACACTGAAAACTAATATACCCTATGTCAAAGTATTCACACACACACACACACACACACACACACACACA